CAGCAGTGGAGACGTGTTCTCTGGAGTGACGAATCATGCTTCTCTGTTTGGCAATCCGATAGATGTGTCTTGATTTGGCAGTTTCCAGGAGAACGGTACTTGCCTGACTGCATTGTGGCAAGTGTAAAGTTTGGTGGAGGGGGATTATGATGTGGGGTTGTTTTTCAGGGGTTGGGCTTGGCCCCCTAGTTCCAGTGAAGGGAACAATTAAGGCATCAGCATACCAAGACATTCTAGACAATTTGATGCTCCCAACTTTGTGGGAAGAGTTTGGGGATGGCCCCTTCCTGTTCCAACATGACTGCACATCAGTGCACAAAGCAAGGTCCATAAAGACATGGAGGAGCCAGTTTGGGGTGGAGGAACTTGACTGGCTGCACAGAGTCCTGACCTCAACCCCATAGAACACCTTTGGGATGAATTAGAGCGGAGACTGTGAGCCAGGCCTCCTCCCCCGACATCAGTGCCTGACCTGACAAATGTGCTTCTGGAAGAATGGTCCAACCTTCCCATAGACACCCTCCTAAACCTTGTGGACGGCCTTCCCAGAAGAGTTGAAGCTGTTATAGCTGCAAAGGGCGGGGCCAACTCAATATTGAACCCTACGGACTAAGACTGGGGGGCCATTAAAGTTCATGTGCATGGAAAGGTAGGCGGTCCAATACTTTTGGCAATATAGTGTATTTTTGTACACTAGGTGTAATCCTAGACTCCCATCTGTCCTTTCAGCCCCAAATCCAATCACTGTCCAAATCATGTAGACTTCACCTCCGCAACATCTCCAAGATACGCCCGTTCCTAACCTCGGAAAGCATTAAGTAACTTATTCCCTCCCTGGTTATATCTCGCCTTCACTATTGTAACTCCCTCCTCATTGGCCGACCTCACCGCAGGCTATCCCCTCTTCAGTCTATCATGAATGCTGTTGCCAGACTCATCCACCTTACTAATCGTTCTCTATCAGCCACCCCTCTTTGCCAATCCCTCTACTGGCCTCCACTCAGCGGCCTCCACCCTTCTCTGCCAATCCCTCCACTGGCCTCCACTCAGTGTCCTCCATCCCTCTCTGCCAATCCCTCCACTGGCCTCCACTCAGTGTCCTCCATCCCTCTCTGCCAATCCCTCCACTGGCCTCCACTCAGTGTCCTCCACCCCTCTCTGCCAATCCCTCCACTAGCCTCCACCCTCTCTGCCAATCCCTCCACTGACCTCCACCCCTCTCTGCCAATCCCTCCACTGGCTTCCGATTGCCCAACAAATAAAATTCAAAACATTAATAATAACATAAAATCATTTATAACTCCGCCCCAAATGACATCACCAATCTTGTCCTCTCTGCTCCTCGTACGACCTCCTGCTCTCTAGCTCCCTTATCTCCTCCTCCCATGCTCGTCTCCAGGACTTCTCCAGAGCCGCCCCCATCCTCTGGAACTATCTACTCCAATCTATCGCCTACTCTGCCCACTTTTAGGCGATCTTGAAAACCTCTCTCTTCCCGGAAGCCTATAGTGCCTTCAGGGTCTGGGGAGAGCGGATATAGTGAATGCAGGGTCCGGGGAGACCGGATATAGTGAATGCGGGGTCCGGGGAGAGCGGATATAGTGAATGCGGGGTCCGGGGAGACCGGATATAGTGAATGCGGGGTCCGGGGAGACCGGATATAGTGAATGCGAAGTCCGGGGAGACCGGATATAGTGAATGCGGGGTCCGGGGAGAGCGGATATAGTGAATGCGGGGTCCGGGGAGAGCGGATATAGTGAATGCGGGGTCCGGGGAGAGCGGATATAGTGAATGCGGGGTCCGGGGAGAGCGGATATAGTGAATGCGGGGTCCGGGGAGAGCGGATATAGTGAATGCGGGGTCCGGGGAGAGCGGATATAGGGAATGCGGGGTCCGGGGAGAGCGGATATAGGGAATGCGGGGTCCGGGGAGAGCGGATATAGGGAATGCGGGGTCCGGGGAGAGCGGATATAGTGAATGCGGGGTCCGGGGAGAGCGGATATAGTGAATGCGGGGTCCGGGGAGAGCGGATATAGTGAATGCGGGGTCCGGGGAGAGCGGATATAGTGAATGCGGGGTCCGGGGAGAGCGGATATAGTGAATGCGGGGTCCGGGGAGAGCGGATATAGTGAATGCGGGGTCCGGGGAGAGCGGATATAGTGAATGCGGGGTCCGGGGAGAGCGGATATAGTGAATGCGGGGTCCGGGGAGAGCGGATATAGTGAATGCGGGGTCCGGGGAGAGCGGATATAGTGAATGCGGGGTCCGGGGAGAGCGGATATAGTGAATGCGGGGTCCGGGGAGAGCGGATATAGTGAATGCGGGGTCCGGGGGAGAGCGGATATAGTGAATGCGGGGTCCGGGGAGAGCGGATATAGTGAATGCGGGGTCCGAGGAGAGCGGATATAGTGAATGCGGGGTCCGGGGAGAGAGCGGATATAGTGAATGCGGGGTCCGGGGAGAGCGGATATAGTGAATGCGGGGTCCGGGGAGAGCGGATATAGTGAATGCGGGGTCCGGGGAGAGCGGATATAGTGAATGCGGGGTCCGGGGAGAGCGGATATAGTGAATGCGGGGTCCGGGGAGAGCGGATATAGTGAATGCGGGGTCCGGGGAGAGCGGATATAGTGAATGCAGGATCTAGGGAGAGCGGATATAGTGAATGCGGGGTCCGGGGAGAGCGGATATAGTGAATGCGGGGTCCGGGGAGAGCGGATATAGTGAATGCGGGGTCCGGGGAGAGCGGGATATAGTGAATGCGGGGTCCGGGGAGAGCGGATATAGTGAATGCGGGGTCCGGGGAGAGCGGATATAGTGAATGCGGGGTCCGGGGAGAGCGGATATAGTGAATGCGGGGTCCGGGAGAGCGGATATAGTGAATGCGGGGTCCGGGGAGAGCGGATATAGTGAATGCGGGGTCCGGGGAGAGCGGATATAGTGAATGCGGGGTCCGGGGAGAGCGGATATAGTGAATGCGGGGTCCGGGGAGAGCGGATATAGTGAATGCGGGGTCCGGGGAGAGCGGATATAGTGAATGCGGGGTCCTGGGAGAGCGGATATAGTGAATGCGGGGTCCGGGGAGAGCGGATATAGTGAATGCGGGGTCCGGGGAGAGCGGATATAGTGAATGCGGGGTCCGGGGAGAGCGGATATAGTGAATGCGGGGTCCGGGGAGAGCGGATATAGTGAATGCGGGGTCCGGGGAGAGCGGATATAGTGAATGCGGGGTCCGGGGAGAGCGGATATAGTGAATGCGGGGTCCGAGGAGAGCGGATATAGTGAATGCGGGGTCCGGGGAGAGCGGATATAGTGAATGCGGGGTCCGGGGAGAGCGGATATAGTGAATGCGGGGTCCGGGGAGAGCGGATATAGTGAATGCGGGGTCCGGGGAGAGCGGATATAGTGAATGCGGGGTCCGGGGAGAGCGGATATAGTGAATGCGGGGTCCGGGGAGAGCGGATATAGTGAATGCGGGGTCCGGGGAGAACGGATATAGTGAATGCGGGTCCGGGGAGAGCGGATATAGTGAATGCGGGGTCCGGGGAGAGCGGATATAGTGAATGCGGGGTCCGGGGAGAGCGGATATAGTGAATGCGGGGTCCGGGGAGACCGGATATAGTGAATGCGGGGTCCGGGGAGACCGGATATAGTGAATGCGGGGTCCGGGGAGACCGGATATAGTGAATGCGGGGTCCGGGGAGAGCGGATATAGTGAATGCAGGGTCCGGGGAGAGGGGATATAGTGAATGCAGGGTCCGGGGGAGAGCGGATATAGTGAATGCGGGGTCCGGGGAGAGCGGATATAGTGAATGCGGGGTCCGGGGAGAGCGGATATAGTGAATGCGGGGTCCGGGGAGAGAGGATATAGTGAATGCAGGGTCCGGGGAGAGCGGATATAGTGAATGCGGGGTCCGGGGAGACCAGATATAGTGAATGTAGGGTTCCGGGGTTTAGGAACACTAAGGGCCGTTTCACACTATAGAATCGCAGTCCAGATACATTCTGGATGCGTTTCCACATGTGCGTTTTTGATGCTTTCCAGTTCATTTTTCCCCTCTCTTCTTCAATTTAAATAGGAACACGTTTTTAGTGCGTTTTATCGCGCTTCACTACAGTTCTGTGCAGGAAAAATGCAGCCTGTTCTACTTTTTTTTTTTCCTGAAACCGGAACGCACTGGAACTGCAAGCACTAATGTGAACTATGACATTGACAACCATATCACCTACTTTCTGTGCATTTTGGACGCAGAAAAAAAGCAACTGAAATGCATGCAGTGTGTGAACCCGCCCTATAGAAACACAGTCCAGATGCGTTTTTGATGCTTTCCGGTTCATTGTTTTTTAAATAGGGACATGTGCGTTCCGATGCGTTTTTGATATGGTTTACTACGTTCCAGTGTAGTTCTGTGCAGTAAAAATGCAGCCTGTTCTACTTTTTCATTCTGCACCCGGAACGCACTGGAACTGCAAGCACTGATGTGAACTATGACACTGACAACCATATAACTACTTTCTGTGCATTTTGGATGCAGTAAAAAAAAGCAACAGAAACGCATGCAGTGTGAACTGGCCCTAAAGGTTTTTAATTAATGAGTCGACTCAATCGCCGAACAAAAAAATCTAACCGTGTATGGCCAACTTAGTGTCACCTAGGAAGCAGGTGACACCAGGGCTGTGCACAGCTCGGCAATGTCCGATCCTCTGGCCAGGGACTGTGTGTGATGGAAGCCCCCTTCCCTCCTCCTGTGGTGGGCACATAGAGCTGCCCATGTCCCTGGGTGGGCTCAGCCCTTCCTGCCATTGTTTCTGTGCGATCCCCATCGCAGGGACAGGATGCATGGACCCTCCATAGGAGCAGATCCCAGGGACGACCTGCGATCCGACAATTGGATGGCAGCCCCCCAGCCTGGCTCTAGGAAGCCCCCCCGGTGCACGCTGCCCCCTCCCCTCCCCCAGCAAAGAAACCATCCGACCCCCCAGCCAGGCATCGGCCGACTTACAGATCTCATCATCGCACAGCAATGCGCTCTCCATCCTGGAGCTCAGCTCAGCCTCATCCCGCCTGTCCCTCCCGGTGTCAGCCCTTCCCCGGCCAGTCTGCTCCCTCCTGGGGGAGGGGGGGGAGCGGAGGCAGTGCGCAGGAGCCTGCCTGCCGCCCGGTGACGTCACGGGAGGGGCAGCGGAGGGGAGGGAGGGGGCAGCACAGCGCGCAGGCACCGCGACCCCCCCCCTGGAAGGTACAATGTAGATATTATGTAACAATTTATAGACATTGATTCCAGGAAATATCCGACAAATGGATACAAATTCCCGCTACATGTCCGTACAGAGATGTGGGGGGGGGGGGGGGGGGCTTGTGCTGCAGAGGTGGGCTTTGGTGTATGGAACGGACCACCGACCTCTCTCAACCTGTCATTCCAAGGGGTGCTGAGGATCCATTGGGCAGAACCAGCAATTTCTGATATTTCAGCTGGACATACACGAAGCAATCTGATTGTACAATCAGGAACATTCTTCCCACTGACCCCCAATGTGAGGAGCATTCTTCCCACTGACCACCAATGTAAGGGGCATTCTTCCCACTGACCACCAATGTAAGGGACATTCTTCCCACTGACCACCAATGTAAGGAGCATTCTTCCCACTGACCACCAACGTAAGGAGCATTCTTCCCACTGACCACCAATGTAAGGGACATTCTTCCCACTGACCACCAATGTAAGGGACATTCTTCCCACTGACCACCAATGTAAGGGACATTCTTCCCACTGACCACCAATGTAAGGGACATTCTTCCCACTGACCACCAATGTAAGGGACATTCTTCCCACTGACCACCAATGTAAGGGACATTCTTCCCACTGACCACCAATGTAAGGAGCATTCTTCCCACTGACCACCAATGTAAGGGACATTCTCCCACTGACCACCAATGTATGGAGCATTCTTCCCACTGACCACCAATGTATGGAGCATTCTTCCCCATGACCACCAATGTAAGGAGCATTCTTCCCACTGACCACCATTGTAAGGAGCATTCTTCCCATTGACCACCAACGTAAGGGGCATTCTTCCCACTGACCTCCAATGTAAAGGGCATTCTTCCCACTGACACCCCAACGTAAGGAGCATTCTTCCCAAGGACCACCAATGTAAGGAGCATTCTTCCCACTGACCCCCAATGTAAGGGGCATTCTTCCCACTGACACCAACGTAAGGAGCATTCTTCCCACTGATCACCAATGTAAGGGACATTCTTCCCACTGACCTCCAACGTAAAGGGCATTCTTCCCACTGATCACCAATGTAAGGAGCATTCTTCCAACTGACAATCAATGTAAGGGGCATTCCTCTCATACCTGACCGCTGGCTATCCAAACAGACCCCCCCCCCCCCCGACAATTACACCCATAGATGGTCCTGTTGTTCATATTACGAGTGTAAATAGTAGATGTGCCCCACCTAAGGTGACATGGGGGATGATTAGCATCTTATATCAGCAGTCCTCAGGTGACTGCCTGGTCACTGCATGACTACCACTCAACCTTCGGATGAGGCGCTGCCTGCTCAGCTGACAAGTAGGCCCCCACAGACGAGCACCCGCATCCTTGAATCCCTCCCAGCCCCCACATATATGAATTCCCCTTTTAGTAGGTCCTAATAATCCCCTTTCCCTTCCTCCCTCTCCTCCTTTCTTCCCATTCTCTTTGATTATCTCAGGTACCTCTTTTTATTATACTTGACTCTATTTAGTCTTAGCTCACCTTTACCCCCCCCCCTCAAAAAAAAAAAAGACCTTAAAGTAAAACTTCTCCTATTAGATGGAGCTGTGCTTTAAGTCTTGCAGCCTCAGGTTTTTAGCCTAGTTTGTCGGCCTGATTTCTGATTCCACACAAAGCAGACATCTGTGTAACAGAACAGGTGTATTGACTACACACTGCCCCCTGTAGGCATTGAAATATTTAACACTGGGTGGATGGGCCCCATCTATGCAAGGACATCATTTGACATGGCCGGTGTTTCCACTAGGCAACCTAGGCAGCTGCCTAAGGCGCACTGCCACCTAGGGGCACCTGGGCACAGCATAGGCCGGCACTCTCTCTGTGTGTGATGCCGCCAGATCATGAATGATCCTTTAGCTGATTAAAGGGGTGACAGAGGGGAGGAATAAAGGACAGACAGAAGATGCTGGATGTCTGGGGCCAGTGCAGCAGCTGAGCTCAGCTCCTTCCAGTGTTCCTCTCAGACTCAGTCCCTTACTGCAAGCCGGCTGGCAGCTGTTGATCACTGTGGAGTTCCAGCCCTTCTCTTCGCATCCATCAGCGGAGGCAGAGCTGAGCCTGCGGAGTGGAAGATAATGCCTGACTGTCTGATGTCTCTTGTCTGTGTGAGTGTGACCCAGCAGGCCGGACATCCATCACATGTGCAATGTGCAGTGAGTGATGATGTCATCACAATCCCCCAGCCTGCTCTTCTAGTGCCTGTCACCTGTGTCACTGTCAGGATCTGTCACTGTGTGGGATCTCTCTATTCAGCTGCCTGCTGTCACAGTGTTTTATCGCCCCCCCATTGCCTGGGGAACTTCCACCCTGGGATCTGTCAGAGCAAGGATCCACATCCTCAACTGCAACTGTCACCCTGCCGCTGCTAGCCACAGATCAACTGTCACTCTGCCACTGCCAGCCACAGATCAACTGTCACTCTGCCACTGCCAGCCACAGATCAACTGTCACCCTGCCACTGCCAGCCACAGATCAACTGTCACCCTGCCACTGCCAGCCACAGATCAACTGTCACCCTGCCACTGCTAGTCCACAGATCAACTGTCACTCTGCCACTGCCATCCACAGCTATTAAAAGAAATGTCACCCTGCCACTGCTAGCCACAGATCAACTGTCACTCTGCCATTGCCAGCCACAGGTCTGGTCTGTCAAAGTCTGCCACTGCCAGCCACAGATTTGAAACTGTCACTCTGCCCTTGCCAGCCACAGATCAACTGTCACTCTGCCACTTAGCCACAGTCAACAGTCAAAAACTTGCCACTTTTTCAGTCACAGATCAACTGCCACTCTGCATTGCCAGCCACAGATCAACTGTCACACGCTGCCACTGCCAGCCACAGATCAAAAAAACTGTCACCCTGCCACTGCCAGCCACAGATGCAACTGCCACTCTGCCATTGCCAACCACAGATCTAAAAACACCCTGCCTCTGCCAGCCACAGATCAACTGTCACTCTGCCAAAAAAACTGCCAGCCACAGATCAACTGTCACTCTGCCATTGCCAGCCACAGATCAACTGTGGGGGGCCACTGCCAGCCACAGATCAAACTGTCACCCTGCCACTGCCAGCCACAGCTACAGTCCACCCCTGACACTGATTTTGTCTTTAATATTGGTGCTGGTGGCATCTTGGGGCATTTATTTTTTTGCTAATTAAAAGAAATTTTGCAGTTTCATGTTTTGTTGATTTAATATTTTCTACTGTTTTTTTACAACATTTTTTTTTCTTTTTTTTTTTTATGTCCAAGTAGCTGGTCTTGCCTAAAAGTCTAGCACTGGCCCTGTCCTTTGATAATGTGTCCTTTCTTTGACCCTCATGCACACGGACGTATTGATAACGCTGGTCACGTTAGCTGTGTAACAGTCACGTTAAAAATGTGAATTTTTCAGTTTGGACGCTTTTAGCATTTTTCCGGGGATTAGCGTTTAGCCGCGATTAGTGGCGTTTTCCCGGGGATGGACACTTGCGTTTTTTTAGAGTTTTCACCATAAAAAAATTATTTTTTTTTTAGTTAAAAAACACAAAAACACGCCGGTTTGCTGCAGATTACTGCGTTTTGATGCATTTTTTACAGCGTTAGGGATAACATGAGCGTTTTTTTCAGCCAAAAACGCCCCAGCCAAAAAAAATTTGATTCCAGTCTGTGTGTGTATGGACACATAGGATAACATTCCGGGGGGTTTACTGACTGTAGAAAAAAACTTTTTTTTTGGTCACAAAAGTCCAAAAACACCGGTTTGTGGAGTTTACTGCATTTTTGGAGCAGGATAGACATGCCAGTTTTGGACAGCTAAAAAAATCCTCTAGGATAACACTAGTCCTGGGTTTTTTTTCCACGCCGGGGATGGACACATAATAAACAAGCCGGGCCATGGACAAATAGGATTCAGTGCTGTGGTGTATGGACACATAGGATAACATGCCGGGGGGTTTATGGCTGTAGAAAAAAATGTCAAAATGCCAAAATGGACAGCCGCTGTAAAAAACGTCCCGTGGCATGAGGACTAACAGGATAAAATCCTCTGGAGCTGCAACTGGAGCCATGGGAGCAGGCCGGGGACTGGACAACTCATGGGGCCCCCAGGGCAATGGACACATTATGGGGCTGCCTGTCGTCGCCCACACTAGGAAACAACACCGGGGATGGAAAAATAGCCTATGAAAGGTACCAGGGGATGGACACATAGGGGCCCCCTACTGACCCTGGGGTTTACGGCAGTGCCCGAGTGCTCCAAAGGTCAGTCTGCCCCTGCATGGGAGGTAATGGACCTTTGGTCTATTTTAAAATCCTCTGGAGTGCAACTGGAGCCATGGGAGCAGGGGTGGACTGACAACTCATGGGGCCCCTGGGCAATAGGGGATTATGGGGCGCCTGTGTCCTTGCCCATCAAACCACAAAAAAGCCTATGAAAAGGTACCAGGGGAGGTATCTCATGGGGCCCCCTACTGACCCCGGGCCCTCAGGCAGTCCAAATGGTCAGTCCGCCCCTGCACCCCCTGATCATTTAATTTGTTCCTACCTAACCTGTGCATCTACATGTCATCTACATCTTGAAAGACCTGAGAACTGTGGCAGCTTTGTCAAAATTCAAAGAGCTCAGTATGGAAAATATTGTCTTTCCATTATTAATGAATTCTCAGATTATTGTTAGACAAAATAAATATTACTGTAGCAGTACAGTGGGGATGGATGGGGGGGGGGGGGGGGGGGGGGGGGGGTGCAGAGAAGACTGTCAGTGCTGGAGATGG